ATAAGGAAAGATGCCTTTCTCACTTTGAATTCCTGGAGAGTTCAGCCTGCCTTGAATTTCTATGATGTTTGAGGTAGTGGCAGCACAGGATGGGAAAGAAGTTTAATAACTTACTCCAGATTTTTAGGTGGCTGAGGTTGAGTGAGATGTACCACAGGGGTTGCAAGTGCTTATAGAAGCTGTCTAAGATGTTTTTACATTCAAAGGTGGGAAAGCAGAGTAAGACTTTTGTGACAACAAGATACAGAAAGAACCTGGAAGATGTATTACTTTGGACACTAATCTTTGAGAATTCTTATAAAATAATTGTAAAGTAATTGTACTAATAATTTGAAATCATAAGTGATATAAGTAAATTGCCTTTTGCAACCAATGAAATGAGGTTTGTCAGATACCAATGAAAGGTGGGCATATTGAATTAGACTGTTGAAAGTCTAGAAGGAGATGTTTAAGGATAACTTATTTTATCACCCCTTTTATATCTCTTGGACACCTTAACCTGTTTTGCCAAAGTGTTTGTACATTTGTAATAAATAATAAATTATAAACTAGATTTTTGTACTTTGGAAATATTTTATAATAATATTAGGACTATTTTTGGCATACATGTTTAAATGAATGGGTGAATTTCAGAAGCAATACTAGTGTGGCTGGTCAGAGTCTGACAAACAGAAGGAGCTGTCAAGTAATTAAACAGTTGGGTAGTCTATTATTGATTTAGGTTCATAATAAACATTTTATATTATCTATTGTATTGTACAGGTGTTCTTCATATTTGATTTTTTTTTTTTTTCTGGAATGAATGTTGTTGTCATTTCATAGTTATTTTAGCAGCTAGACTATCCTTGTCCTGTTTAATTGCCTAGTGGATTAGTGCCCAGTATAATAGCAGACTTTTATTTTTTTGAGTATTATTTCTAGAGTGGATGATCTTTATTTCTGTCAATATATTTTAACCATTTTCTATTTTTCTTTCTTCAGGGTCACCCAATTTTTTTTATCTCTCAGGTGTCCCAACTATTAATAATGCAGAATATTTTTGACATTTTTAAGTCAAATTTACTGAATCAGTACATAAATGTTCCTTTTCCACGTCCCAAGCTACAAAAATTTGTCAAAGATGTCCTTTTTAAAGTCTTTTCAGAGGAATTTCTAATGACAGAAACAGATTTACTGTTATAATATTATGTTATATGCTTCGTATATAAATTTATATATATATATATATATTCCTATGGGTAAGTCTGTATCCTTTTAATGTAATAGCTTTTGTAGTATCCATTTGGTGAGATATATGTATGCAGACTTTCTTGTCTCTACAAAACAAATCTATTTGAATCCCCATATGTGGAGAATTACTTAAATTGTAAACATTAATATTATGAAAGTATTATCTAAATAATAATTAAAATGTATGGGGAATTAAGATCCTTTGATATCGCCTTCCAGTTTCTGCTATTTGAGAGTTTTTTGAAGCACTGATGTTTTCTAATTATATTTATTAATTTTTGCTCTTAGTACTATATATCTAACTGCCTTTTACTGACAAACATCTTGTTGAGTCCTATACATATTTCTGACTAATGTTATTATCTGTTTGCTGCAGGTAAGTTATTTCATACTGATTTAAGCAATACCTCTGTATGCATGTTTTATCGTTCTCTACATATCAGAATTAAATGTTACTGTTCCTTAAACTCTATGTATGAGACAGAAGGCTGATATAAGATCATACATTAAGAAGTTGTCTTTTTCCAAACAAATACAAAAGCAACCAAGTTATTATTTTCAAATGTGTCAACATTTTTTAATAAACATTAATTCTCTCTCATATAAATTCTATTCTATTTTTTTCATAATGTGGATCAAGGTGAAATACCTTCTTTTCCAGAGTGTAAAATCACATAAACTCCTCAATTTCTGCTCCTTAGAGAGCATATATTAGATCTGACTTTCAAGCATAAAATGCACACTGTCGTTTCAAACAAATGTTGCCCTCATCTGACAGCGTGACCCCTTATAATTAAGAATGATTTGTTAGAATAACCAGATTTCCAATGCAGATTTTGAAAGCAAACCGAGTAGTGTAATGGCAATACCTGTGAGAAAAGATGAGACAGGAAAATGATGTGAATTGAAGACTAGGACTACTCTCAGCAATGTGCAGAATTTCTTCTCAGTGTTAAACTAATAAAAAACCTCCATCGCGATGTATAAAGTCGAAACAAAACTGAAACTTTTTATTTTGGCTTATTGACAAACAAAATTTATATTTCCACTCACAGCAATGATGCTGAAGCTGCAATATGCTATTAAGTGATTTGTATATTTTTTTTAAATTTAGATATCTGAACGCTAATTATTATTATATATGCATAGTGTTAATTTCCATGGCTTTTATATAATAAAACAAAACCCACAACACTCTGAATCTTTATGAGTGAGACTGAAACAGACAGACAATCTTTTGTCTGGTATTTCACCAGTTCTTAAAGTTGCTTTTTACCAGGTTACAGAAAAAGACATCTTTAGGAATATCTCTTCTAAGCATTCATATACAAAAGCAGTCTGTGTGATCATACTTCCTTTCACCATAAGGAATTCACAAGTGAATAAGTCTTCCTTATATTCCCTTGGGCAGGTCAGGAACAGCTGAATATTTATTTATCATCTGTCACCAAACTGCACTCTTCAGTTCAGCCAATAACATAATGAATTCTAGCTAGTTGCTACATCTCCCCCTTGAATCCACGGGTCAGATTCCCTGTGGAGCCCGGCCATCTGGGCAGTTGGGGTGAGGTGGCCAGAGGGAAGGGTTTCTCCTGGAATCCCAGGGGGCCTGGAGAAGCCCCCACGTGAGTCCAAAGACGAGCTAGTCCCACAAGTGAAGAAAGAGGCGCTCTTCCTTCAGGATCAGTTCCCAAGTCTAATGTCACTTCGAACGAGTTCTGAGCGAGAGAGGCCAAGTCTCCGCCCAGACCGGCCAGATATAGGGGGCGGGGAAACCCGAGCAGCCAATGGGGGAAGGACATGGGAGTGGCTCTCTGGGGACAAAGCCTCAGAGTGACCACTGAGGAGGGGGTGGGGGAGGAGTCCCAGCCAGGGTCCAGTTACCTGGTGACCCTGCCAGAAGGATCTGGACAAAGGGGAGTGGTCAGCAGGTGATGGACACATCACCTGGGAGGAGACAGGGGGATGGGTTGGGGTTTGATGGACATACAGGTACTGATGGGAAAGCTGGGATGAACCAAACAGATACAAAGAGGGGATATACTGTGCAAACACAACTCTACAGCTAGTAATCAAATTTTGAAAGATAAAGATAATGGAAGATTCTATTGGGAAAACCATGCCACAATTTTTCTTTCATGTTACTCATGATTGTAATCTCTTGTATGATAAATGTTTTCTTAAAATGTTTACTTCCTGCAAATAGCAAGACTATTCTAAAAAACCTTTTTCTACACATTGTTCAGAAAACTTAAGGGAAGTGTGAAGTTAAAGTGTGAAGTAGGTTCAGTGGTTCTTTTCTCAAATGTGGAAATTAATTGACAAGGCTAGGTTAGATTTGAAATTAATAAGGTGTGGTCCAGTAACAGCTATGAATAAATTCTTGTTTCAGAGCAAAACATGCCCTTTGGCTGTTATGTAAACATGAGCTAAGGCTTTTTCAGCTAAAGATCATTTAAGATCTTTTGCAGACCATTATTCTTTTTCACATAGAAATTACTGACAATGGCCTACACAGGGCTAAAAAACTATGTTAGTGGTATGCACTACTTAAACAAATTATTTGTTAAAATAGATCACAGTAAAGACAGAACACAATAAAGACAATGGTTTAGTGTTGAAGGCTATTTTCCCACATAAATGGACAAAATCTCTGGATTGAGAAAGGATCAGACACTGTTATCCTTTTTGTACTAAATACAACCTGAAAGCACAAAGAATTCTCTTAAAGCCACTGGGACCATCTGTGGAATAAGGATTTGTTTAGGGTATAACCCTCATAAATCCATAAACCTAATCCTAAACATGTAGCTTTCACTATTGTCAACAACTAGTGGTGTATGTTCATCCTCTCTCTAGTCGTCCCATGAAGCAAATTATTAATATGTAAAATATTTTCTCAAATAAAAGTAATTTTGCCATGTCTGTTTGAAAGCCATTGGCGTAAAAGATTAGAGTCATTACCACAATGTTTTAACCTTTAAAGCTCATTTGTAGCTGCTCATTCACATGACATCCTACCATGAGTCTGGCAAAAAATTTTTTTCTTATTAAACAGGTGCTGTTTCATCTGCACCTGGTCAAATGGCCACCCTGTCCTCCTACCCCCCTACCCATAATTTTTCAGCCATGAATATAATGAAAAATATTTGTTTTCTTACCAGACCCCATACTGGAAATCTCTCCTGATTTTCAAACACCTCCATGGTTTATTTTTAAGTACCAGGAATTTAAACTGCACTGGCACTTTTCCACTTAGCCTACATACCTTGGTTTTCTTCAGTGAAGAGCAACCATAGTAAACATTGCAGTAGAATTTGTTTGATGGGGCTGATTTGTTTGTTTGTTTCCTTCTTGTATAAGCTTTCCTGAATCTGTAATTCAGTTTCTCTTATTTAAAATCTTATTTAGAAAAAGAAGGGGAAAAAAAAGGAAAACAGAGAAATATGTTGAATAATTTGGTTTATCATGATGCCAGCTTTTAGGTAATTGAATCACTTGATTGCAGGATATAATTTCTGTAAAATGAGTACTCAGTGAAATAAAGGTGAGTAAAATACAGGCAGGTTGTTTTTTTCCAGACAGACCATTTTGAAAACATTTGATGACCTCAGTTTCAAAATTGTTGCTGGGTAGTGGTTTCAGTAAAGAAATGTTCTGAGATAGCGATATATTTGTTATGGAATGGTTGGAAAAAAATACAGTGTAAAATTAATTTTGAAATCTTACTTGAGTCTTGCAGAATGATTCAGGATAATTTTCAAAGTGGATAACATTTAAAGCATTTTATTATCTTATTATCTAATATCATACATAAAGTTTTATAACCATCAGTTTAACATTTTAAAGATTCTTAATATTGTTATAATAAAACTGACTACTGCAGCTAATTTTATATTCCATAATAAAAAAATAAATCTGTGCTGGTAAATAAGTCATCCTTTAAACTCTTAATAAAAGGAAAAAAATGCCTGTATTTCTACAGCATTTTGTTCTAAGTGCACTAATATATAATGTGGTCGATTGCAGTATTTAAGTTAAATATTGATTCTTTTTCCTATCTTATTTGCTAAATTAAGTATTGGTTTACACATTTTCCAATAGCTTCAATAAAAACTAAAATGGCAGCAAATACTTGATGATGTTATAATAACACTTATATAACACTTTAATTTTTCTGATATGAAAAGACATTTTAGTTTTGTCATCCTAAGAACAATAAATAGATGATCTTGTAAGCACTTATGACAATGGTATTAGAACATCTAGGGTCTACTTTTTCACGCAATTATATTTATATAATGAAGCATTATACAAATATGCGTGTTTAACTTTGGTTAATGTATGTATTCAACCACAACAGCATAAGTCTGTCAGCTTTGGAAACTGTTTAAAGCTTATGGAGGACGGAATGTATACAGCATCCATTTATGGCTTGTACTCCTCCTTTTGTACTAGCAAGATCCAGACTTTCAGTATACGGAAGAGGATCTAGATATCCAAAGCAGCAGTGTTTGCATTTAAGCACTTAAATTACCACAAGGTTTTCAAACTATGACCTCCATCCCTTCATGTGGTAACACCCCTGGTGTGTTTTAATCATTCAAGAGGTTTCCACATCCAAAACATCCCATATGAAAACTCTTGGACTCTTCTTTCTCCTGTTTAATGTGGGATGACCTCCTTTTTAAAAATCCACAATTGCGTTTGGTTGCTAAGACTTAGGAAAACAAAAGAACAATTCAAAAAGTGCCTAATCTCCCACAGTTCTGTGGGAAGAATACATGCCTGCAAGCTGTTTAAAGTGAGGTCCCCAGTCTGCAAGGTAGTCATAGCTCTGATCCATGTCTGAAGTGTTTGAACCCAACGAGCTGAGGGATCCTGCCAAGGAACCAGTCCCCTCAAATGCATAGGTCTGAAGCGAGTCATAGGGAGGAACACTAGGATCTGTATTTGCTTCTTCGAGCTTTTCTGAAATGAATTGCCTGAAGATTGCGCTGTCAGGGCCAACCTGCAGAGACTGTCTGTAGAGGCTCTGGATTTCAGAGGCCACCTTCTTCCTAGGTTTGTGTGTTCGCATGACAGTGCGTGTTCTCAGTGCTGAAATATCAAAGGCTTCTGTGTCCGCCTCGCCCCCTCCTTCATCATCATAACTGACAATGTTCTCTCTGAATTCTTCCATCTTCTCTGAAAAAGGAGCCTTCTTCTGCTGTTGCTGCCTTATAGTTACAATTGCCAAAAAGAACACTGACAAAATAAAAAGAGAAAGGACAAGGGAAAAATTAAGCAGAACTAGAGACTGTGAATGTGCTAGGAAAGATTTAAAAAATCCCTTCTTATCCTAGTGTCAAGCCTGTTGAATAGTGAAGCTATCTTAACAAATTTATAGAGCTGTAATTTTTATGTATTTTATGGTTTTGAGAGGAGCAATGGGTGTGTTGGAAAATGGCTACAAAGGGACTTATAAAAAAGGCGAATTAAATGGAGCAGTTCTTTTGGTAGATGCAAATTTGAAACTGATGGAAACACAGGTTATGCTTTTTGAAAGTGCTTTTTTATCACATAATATATCCATTTCATATTCAGAATTTAAATTCTTTATCAATCTCTCTGATAAAAGTCCCATCAAGACCAAATGAAAAATGAGACAATGAGCAAGATATCCTCCTCACCAGGTTAAATCATTCAGTTCCACAAACTATGCAGAATGGTGTTCAACTATTTCTGTTGTGCTGATTTGTAAATTTGAAGACTCACAAAACTCTGTGTTATTTTACTGTCAAGGCCCTATGAATAAAATTATCTTAATTTTATTTGAAAAGTTTCTTAGTTTTTCTTTTAAAACATTATTTTTTAATCCCACATAATTTCATTTTAACTGAACCATCCCTTTGAATTAATCTATGACTTTCAGAGAGATTAATTTTTTCAGTTTTAACTATATGTTGCTGCAGTTCTACTTAATAAGTATGTTGTGGACTTTAGGTTTTTTACTCAGGACATAAAATGATACATGTACTAAGAATTGCTTAAGAATACAAAGAAACTGAAGTAGATATTTTTTTCTAGCTATTTACAATAAACTATTCCATTTGCTTCAGAGATACCAACACAAGGCTTGAAAGCACTGAAAACAATAATTTCTACTATTATTCACAAAACAGGTGGTTTTCCAAATGCCTTGCCTGGTGAACACTTCTGATGGTATACTTCAGTTTTCAGAGATAAATGGCAAACTTAATTTTTATAGAGCATTTGATTATTTAATTTTAAATTATTACAAAAATACATTCAAAGAATTAAGGAATTTAAAATATGTGTGTTTGTAAAGAGTGTAGTAGATTAAGTTTTTTCTTCTTTTGGACTAATATATTTATCCATATCCCTGCTTTTACTTTTGTCAAAGTTGCCATGGGTTTATTCCTCCTGGAGAGAGAACCTTTCTGCAAGAACCAAAGAAATCACTGATTAATAATTCCCCTGATGGTCTGGATAATACAGTGGTACGGTTTGCCTGATCCTTAGTCCCCGAAGTCAATAACACAAAGTGAACCTATCGAGATACCCTGCAACCATCAATCAAAACTCAAAGTGCACACTGACCTGTAAAACTGACTAAAAGATATAATGCAGATATCAAAGCTCAGATTTCATAAGAAAACTCTGGAAGTGCAGGCAAGCCTAGAAAAAACAAATTCATTTTATTTTATTTCCCATGTCCTCAATAGGAAACCAGGGCATGGAGGTAGGAAAAGTAGTGCATCCCTGGGCTTTGTGGTCATTTATTTGAGTCAAGAAATGGCTGGCTTCTAGAACAGCCAGCCTTGAGATGTTGGTTTGGTTTTGAGTGCTGTTTGCCAGCTGTGCATGACCCTTTACAGGGTACTAGAAAAACTCCTGTGCATTTGAACTCCTTTCAATCCCAGTTTTCTCATCCACAAATTCTCAAATGTATTACAGCTTAAGCTGGTGTTTCCTGAGAGGAAAAGAGATGTCCAACATTTAGAGAAAATGCTGTCTAGTGATGAAACCTTAATTGGCAAAGAAACTCCCTGTATCTGGAACTTTCTGACTGATGTCAGATTCCCTTTTTCTTTTATTATTCATAATTGATCTCAGTTCTGCATTTGCCATTCCTAAGGCAAAATAAGTAGGGTGCTACTTCTTTTAATATATTCCTACATAGCAAATTTTCTTGTGCAATACTGTCTTCAGCTTTACCTGTGATCAATATAGACTGTGGGCTCTGAAATCTTTGTTATTGCAAAGCCAGGAGAGTAAAGAGGACCATGACTCAACTACACCTGACTTTTAAGAAATTATGTTAGAATTCAAATTTTACTGAAAACTGGGGAAAGGAAGGGAGAAATTATAGTTAAGAAAACAGGAAAGAAGCTAAACATTTGCCTTATTTCAATTCTTACCAATGGCCCAGTACTTCCAGTCTTTGAGTCAAGGGTCCATTTTTGTTGCTTAATCAACCCCTCTGTAAAAGGAACCAAAGTAATTTTTCTTTCTTGTACTTACCTAGGAATATTAATATGCAAGCCAAAAGGGCAACTAAAGCCTCTGTGCTGAGACCCAAGGAATACATGAAAGCCCCATAACGGCAGTAGAAGGTGTTAACTTCAGTGTCGCAGTCGCAGACAGTGACAGTGAGAGTATTTGTGCTCGTCAGCGGTGGGGTCCCATTATCCTGAATTAAGATTGGCAAGTAGAAAAAAAACTGCTCTTGCCTGCTGAAGCCACTTTTTCCTGTGAAAATTCCAGCTGTGTTATCTAGAAGATAAATTATTATGATGATTAGCATTTATGTATTTTGTAACCACAACAATAATATTTAGTGGAATCTGACATATTTAAAAGCAATCGTACTCTGCAAAGCTTTTAACAAAAGTTAAAAATGTAAAAGCAGGCACTGACATTTGATGCATATTTTGTCAATTGTGAATAAATTGTTTTTAATTTTGATATATGTACTCCAGGGGCAATAATAAAATTTGACTGAGGAGCTCTGGTTTTAATGTTCAGAGCTAAAGAAATTGACATCTTTTTCAGTACCTGGCACCTGCTCAGACTAATTAATTGGTTCTTACAATGGTTCCATGTATCCAGCTGCTACCAAGCCAGAAGTTCACAGATAAAATACATACAGTTTGTCAATCAAAAAAGTTAAAAAGTGATTCTATCAGCACATAGTAAAAACAGGTGGCAAGGGAAAGAAGAAAAAGCAAAAAAAAATCCACTATAATCGTCTTTTATTTCTTTCCCTGGCAGAAAAACTGGAGCTATCTGGACTTCTACCACCTAAAATAGCAAAGTTCATAAAGTAACTCTGAGATAAAATACTAGAGATCTACAGTCTCTTTTTCTCTTCCTTAGGGCTATCACAATTCAACCAGCCATTTCTGTTGAATGTGGCAGAAAGGGGCAGGTTGAAATCTGACTGCATCATGTTCCAAAAAGTTTTGCTTTCCCCATTAGTTGGTACCTAAAGGAACTGAATGGGTTGTTTTGTGTGAAGGTCTTCTTGGGTTTTGGGCAGAGAGAGGAAAGGTGGGAAAGGCTCATGGCTTGTGCACAATTTGGCCTTAATATGATGACTTATCTCTTCCTGGAAAGGAGGGAGAGATAAAGATGGGAATGGAAATTCTTATTGATACATTGACTAACTTTGAAGATAATTGAGAAGCAGTTTGCCATTTAGCATATTTGGAACTTCCCAAAACTTATTTCTATTGATTTGTTCCCTTAGCCAGCACATTCAAATAATTAGCATGGTCAATAAGAACGATGTGTACTTTAGCTTAGTCTGGAGAAGCTTTACTTTGTAGTCTCAGCAGACTGATTCTAAATGGTCACCTCCTTGAAATTCCATCACGTATCACACGTATATTTTCATCTCAGTCTGGTTTTGCTTGATATTATAAGATTCCATTCCTAGTTATCTGGGCTTATAATGTTGGTCTTGCTGAATTAATGAAATAACAATCCCATACTTATATCAATCTTCTCTTTCTAATGATCTTATTTCTCAGGCAAACAATTTTAACAAGAAAGTTGGAATTGACCTGATATTCAGCATTAAGAAAATAATTTTTAAGAATTACCAGTGTATTTTTCATCTCAGCTGTTTTTTCTTTCCCTGAAATAAAATTGCCTTTTGCTGATTGTATTATTGATGTGAAAAGGAAAATAAACTCTTTAGTACTATTGAATTATTGTTTTGAAATGTGTAATTTTTATAACAAAAAATTATATTTAAATGGAAAATGTTAAGAAGTTAAGAACCTGTTGGAAGCATGCATCTTCCATCAGGCAGGTCTTAAAAAGCTGCATGACTGACACTACCTTGATTGTCTTTCACAGTAAAATGGGAGCTGTTTGTGTCCTCCTGAGCCAATGAGAAAAAAAAATGATGACCTTCTGCTGAGTCATCTTGATCCACTGCACTGATGCTTTGAATTAGCTGGAAAAATAAGAGAACAGAGTTGTTTAAGAGTAAAGAATTTCCTTGTCCTTTAAAACAATAAAAAGGATATTACAGGTACGTTAAAACTAAACTATTGATGTTGAAGATGTGATCCGTGAATCTGTACTGAGTGCATAATATGCACATATTCACCAAATACCTGAATAGGCTTATTGAGACTGATATTCTGCAAATACTCTGCTTTAAGTTTTCATCCATTTGAGACAGGCAGGCATTAAAATCTTGAGAAAATGTAAAATGTTTTCCAGATCAAAGGACTAGGAACAAATTAATTGTCCATATAAAAAAAAATAATAATACAGAATGTTTTGTTCTTTTTTTCTCTTAATCCAAGGTGAACAGTACCCATTCATTTTGAGTCCACAAACACATTGACATTATTCAACTGGTATATTGTATCTCTAGTAAGTAACATACATTGCAAAGTTCATATGCTGAATTGTTGATTCTGGATATTATAACAGATTGGTTATGGAAGTTTTTGGCTGCTTTTTCTCAAGAAGACAAAACAGCCTTCATTTAGAAATATGTCAAACTAGACTGTCATTGCAAGATAAAATAAAAAATAACAGAATTCAAAAGAATATTTTTCATCTCTGTAAATAAACAATCACATAGTTAACATAATTAGCAGTATTTCTGCTTTAAAAAGTCTATATCTCTTATATTTATCAGTAAATATTTAATTATCAGCATATATTAGTGAACATCCTTGCTGATCAGGAGGAAAGCAAACTGCTGGAAATACACCAATTTTCAGAAAAGAGAGGATCAAATTTGAACTTTGGCTATATTTTATCAGTTATCTCATGCTTTGTGTATATTTGTACACAAGAACTTGAATCCTCAACTTTTCTCAAAGCATACATCACCTGAATGATACAAACAGGGTTTTAAGTCAGTGGAAGTGATGACTGCTGCTTTCCATCTGTGCCTTTGAAAACTCTCTTCTGGTTAAATCCTTTTTAAAAGATCTAGAACTTCATCACACATTCTTTTTCTTTTCAAGCAAGCCAAGTTTGATGAAATCATCACAACAGAGTGCAAAATGTAGTTTACACAGCAAAAGCTTTGTATTCTTAACACAGTTCCCTCTTCATATGTGAAATTTATTTTAAATCTATATTTTCTCTCTATGGAAACATGAAGACCCTTGCATTTTTTTTGGATTTTTTTTTATTGCCATTAATGAAAAGAATAACTTTTCAGTGATGTCATAGTGTACAAAGCAGAGAGAGTCTCGAGAGTTTTTTTTTCTTTCCTCACAACTAACAAAATATCTGAGGTGATACAAATACAGATATAAAAATTCAGGTCAAGAAATCAGTGAGGATAAACTGACACCCAACATTTCCTTGAGTACCACAGGCTTAATTTTTATAAGGAAATGTAGTTCCCAGAATATGCTCAATATTTTGTCACCTACCTCAAAAAACTAAGATACATGTCACAGATGAATATAAATATTGGTATGGATATATGCCTGTCTTTAAAATTCAAGGTCTATTAAGATGTAATAAATATGAATAATAATATAATGATATACAAAGACATCTTGGCCACATTTAGTTTGTTTTATTTTGTTTTGTTTTGTTTTTAGTTCAGTTACTTGGTAGAGAAAAAATTACCTGCCTGCATACTAAAAAAAAAGTGATTTTCATTCAACCAGTGATTTTCATTCATGTCTATTGAAAACATATTTTTAGGAGTATATTATGTGTGAAAATAATAAAATTACAGCAGTTGTGAATTAGTACTGTTCTGCTGTTTCATTATTGACTTCTATATTTTACATACAGAATGTATTTGGCTCTGTACATTTTATCTATATCTGATTCAATCAATAAAATTCTAAGGAGAATGTGGAAAACTGAAAAAAAAACAAACCCAAACCATCTTCTCTTGCTTTGATCTGCACAAATCTAAGATTCCTATGTTTGTTTTATATATCTATATATATGCCTTCAAGGATTCACCTTAGCAGCAGGGGAAAATTTGGAATATAAGGACAGGGCAAACCCTTATTGTTTACTTCTTGTTGTAGCACTTCTGCTAAGATTCAGCAAAGCCCACACTAGTCTACAAAATATACAGAGAGAAGTAAGTACCTCTGATTTTACTGATTCAGAAGAAAAATCACTCAGAGTGAAGGAAACCCTTCTTTTTTTTTTTTTTTCTGATTTCCTAGGTTTTTGTAAACCTAACCTAGGAGATTCTAGCCTTTTACCAGGGGAACTGGCATCACATTCTCAAAAACTGCAAATACTGCTTATGTGTTGAGGCTTACACACCTCCTACATTTTAGTGGTTAAACAGAAAAACTGTAGTGAATGATTTGTGGCTTTTGCAAGGTTATGTCAGTTGTTGTGTTGATGTGGCTGAAATTTAATCGCTTTCAAAACTCTTATTTCAAGTCTCATTAATATAGAAGCTTTAAAGGTCCAGCAATTCATTTAAAAATGAGTATTTTTTTTAAACAGAGATTAATTCACTTGATTATTTTTGAAAAAGTTATTTAAATTTATGATGGCTTTTGAGGACTTGCACTAGTCGAGAAGAAAGCTTTCATAAGATAAGCCGCCACAGGAATGGGAAACAGGAAAATGCTCATTTCAGGCCTAAATGGAAGTGAAGGTTTGGAATCTGAACATTGGACAAAGTTCCCTTGTGAGGACTTATGCTAAAAGTGTAGATGGCAACAACAGGCAGATACCAGGTGTGAATATTTTGTTGTGAGTGTTCTATCTGAAGAAAAATTCGACCCTGGCAAACTGAAAAATGAAGGAATTCCTTATACATGTGCCACCCCAGGTTGTTGGAATGGCATCTTGTAAATAAATTATTATATTTGATTGTATTTATCAATCTTGTAAATAAAAAAATGTGGATTATTATTTTATTATGTGCCAAGTACTTAGTAAATAAATTTGGTATTTTTCTTATCTCTGACTCAAAGTTCCTGTATACTCAATCACTTCTTTGAATCTAATAAAAATTGCTAAGCAAGCTTTAATATCAAAATCACTTCATCTGTGATCCCTAAATTAAAGGAACTCAGAAATACCAGAATAAATATGCATTAGAGATGACAGCATTAATTCAGAATACAGGTATGCTCAGTATAGTTTATCTTGAGCTGAAATCAGCTTTCTCTCTGATGGGAAGAAAGCTCTGTATTCACAAAAGGGCTGAAGTTACCATGCATAGGTACATTATGGATGGTCAGCTTGCTTACATATCATGTAATGATTTTGATACAGTCTGCATCAAACTTTCAAGCTGCATCTTCCAGATGCGTTAATTTATTAATATCTTGGGAATTAAGCTTTTTTGAGATCCATTATTGATGAGATGTCTCTAGTGTTACCTTTGGGGTGGATTTGATTGTCTTGATGTTTTGACTATTTGCAAAGAATATTTCCTTTGAAGTTCAAAGGTTTATACTTACTGTACACACCAATAAATGGCAAATACAAAAAATTATTGGAACATTGTGGTCCTCATTTACTGTGTTTACACACAGTTATAAAGTCAAAAGGTCTAATCAAAAAGAAATCACAGGATTGAATGCCTTATTAATATTATTCTATTTTATCTGATACTAACTATAGCTGTAGTGGGACAGAAGACTATTTAACAATGTAACTTTCATGTTCTATTCATTTGGAAAACAATTTATAGAAGGGTGTCAGTGCAATGAAAGTGTTTTGCAATGTTTTAAAGAAAACTTCAGTTGTGGTGTAGTATACAGCTGACTTCTGTATTATAGGACAGCACTAAACTATAACATTAAATGGATAGAGAAAATTCCACCTAAAATGTCTAATAGACATGATGAATGCATTCAGTATGTTGTGAAAAAGACCTATCTGTCTTCTTTACATCCATTTTTATTGTCAAATTTGGATTATAGTCCCACAGACTGAAATCTAATCCTTTTGTTTGAATGACTTTTGGAGGCTAAATTAAACATAGCTCTAACTCACACAAAAACACCATACAGCGGCTTGAAGGTCAGCACTTAGACAATAGAAGCAGACCAAGAATTTTCATAGTCTTTCAGAAAATCCGAAACTTTAAAGCAAGCCCTCTCATCTAGACTGAAGCTATTATTAACTGTATCTGAGTCTGGATAATTAGGACAACAATTAGTTTTACTCATGATGTGTTTTATATTCTTTATCACAAATCAGCATAATCTTAGGCTATGTAAAATAACTTAATTGTGACCTCAGTCTAAATTACTTTCATAGTAAATCAGGTTGACACCAAGATAAAGTCTAGATTGAATAAGACAATCCATTTTTTAGTGGTATCTTTGCCTCTGCAAAGCCTTTCCTTCCTTTTCCCCTAAACACTGTTTAGTATACAAATATACTTTGGAATGTCCCATGAAATGAGACACAGATCAGCTCAGATAAGGGTAAGAAGTGAATTGCAGAAGCGCAAAACATCTCTGAAAACATCTCTCAGTGCAGTGATTCCAGCTAAAAAGATAGACAGGTGTGATAGCATAGCTATACAATCTTTAATCTCAACTTAACATGCAAGCAAATTCCATAGCTGCTTGAAATTGATTGCAGAAATATGGTTAAGATAAAAGGGTATGTAATATCCTGAATAAGTCCTTTAATTGCTTAAACAAATTCTTCTGAAATGCAAATTTTCTTATTCATTGGACAACCAGGCCACCTATAAAATCACATTTGAATCTTTTGGTTTCTTACTGAGAAAAACAAAGGATATTTTTTCTGTGAGTAATTTTTTTTTTTTTAAAAAGTTAACACCAAAGAAGATACAATTCTGTTTTAATCTTAAACACTGAATAAAATATCATAAACTCTGACTGTGGTAATCATGCACTTCAGTAGAATTTTCCTGTTGTTCTTCCTAAGATAATTTGTTAATGAGAAAATTATTTAACATTATTGGCAAAGTCTCAACAGGCTAAACTAAAGATGCCTGTGATTCTCAAAAACCTATAACAATTAAAATAATGAAAAAAAAATAAAGTAACATTGTGCTTTTCTGTAAGGTGAGAAAAATATCATATTCATCCCTCATTCATATATTGCAATGTTAAAGAGGAATTAATTATTCCGTGTACTACACTTAAATAATTTATTGTTATTAACACTACTATTCTTTAAAGAACAGTTTTATCCAGTGTTTCTCAAAATACTTAATATATATATGTAATTGATATTGAAAAATAGCTACTGATAGGTTAACATAGAGATATTATTTATCAGGCAACCATGGAATACTAAAAACCTTGAGAAATAAATTACCTGGGTTTTTATCTCATAGGCAAATCCAAAACATGGATGACAAATATCCATGTTATAAGCATCTATATTTAATTCATGGTGTCTTGAAGCTAAGGAGCATGAAGTACAATTGATTTAATGCCTGCACTTTTATCTGTCAATGAGATACCCAAAGACCAATAGAAATGGCTTACTCCAAATACCTCCTGAACAGAGGTAGCCTTTGCAGACAGGAAGATTTCCAAATGCAGATCAAAGTAGTTGCTTATAGAGAAACATATAAATGGATGCAAAAGGCCAAAAGAGATCACTTGGGCAACAGGAAAAGCTTTATTTACTGCAGAGTAATTGAGGTCAAAATAAACCAAAATGGAAAAAAAAGAGAGATTCTTTGACTCTGAAATCAACATAACAAAACATTTGAACAGAACCATCACAGATATCCCAAAGGTCTTTTTTAATGTCCAATTAATGCTTTAGAGTGGTGGAAAAACATATAGATTTTTGTCTTTATAGATTTTTTGTTTGTTTGGGAATTTTTGGATGTTGTTGCTTATTTTGTGTATTTTTATTTTAAAAGGACCCAAACCAACCAATCAGAAAAAAAAAAAACAAAAAAAAACAAAAAAAAAAAACCAAAACAAAACAAAAAACCAACCAAACAAACACAAACAAACAAAAACAAACAAACCAAAAACTAGAACAAAACAAACCAAAACCCAAACCCCAATTTTTTTACATCCTGGAGGTTTTTTTTTTTAACAGGAGGAAAATGGAAAGACAGCAGTGTAAGTGGGTATCGGGGCAGCTGTCTGGTGATACCCCATTCATGTGGATATCAAACAGGAAATGGAAAATAATCTCCTGGGAAGGATGCTAAATATAACAATAGATTAAGCCGCCAGCTAGGAAAGGTGTTGTGAGGGCTATGTCTTAAACATTTTCAGATTTGCACTGAACTAGTCAGGATTTGAATTCAGCTCACAGTAAAAGATTTTTATCTGAAGGACACAATGGATGTGTGTTCCAGACCTAGTTCTTATGTTGTTGCTGAAGTTACTGGCCATAGGTTCTTAATCCTTAATATGACCTTAATATGAAAAAAATTTGCACCCTGTATTTTTTAGAAGTTTTTGCCTGTACTTTATTACTTTTTTTAAAATACAAACAAGGAATACATATTTTGTTTTAAAGAACAGAAACTTACAGAATGTGCAGTATGTACAGAAATTTAAATTTCATATTATGCATGTATCAACAGAATTAACTTTGGAAATAGAAAAAAAATGTAGTCTGTACTCACAGAACTGAAAGGATCAATGCTAAACATCTCATATCAAATCATTGTAATGAGAAAAATGATGACCAACTACTTCATGCTCACCTGCCCAGAAACTGTATTCTCACAAACAAATGTTTCATAGTTTTTAGGGAATTCTGGTGCATTATCATTAACATCAAGGACTTGGACATACACATTTGTTTCTGAAATTTTTTCAGGATTTCCTAATGGTTGAAAAAAGACAGAAATAAAAAAGTTAGAAATAATCTACTACATATTTTAGAGTAATATAAAGATTAGAAATTTTTGCCTATATTCTGCATGGAATAAAATAACCACAAAGACCTACAGACATATTTTTATACTATTATAAACAATACAGTACCTTTATAATACTATGTCTTGAAATAAGATACTTCTTGTAAAATTTTGGATTTGTTCATATTGTCTTTACCCAGTCAGAAACTGATTTCAATGTAAAAATAAAACCTGATCAGGAAAAATTAAATAATGTTTTGTTGATGAAAAAAAATTTACTGTACTAGCCATATCAAAGGTTATGTGGTTGGAAAATGTTGACTCTTCTAAGGGTATCTGGTCAAGGACCCTTTCCAGTGAAACAGGAATTAATAAGACAAAGAGGAAGCCATAAACAAGAACATACTGGATCAAAAACCTGAGGTACAAATGATAAACAGAGGGGATGATGAGGACCTAACCTGGTCAGATGAACTAATTGATGTGGGCACCTGAAGTGTGAAAGGTTTTTTCCATCAGATCAGTGGCCTTGACAATTGATAAACCAATGGAGAAAAAGGGGGAAACAGACACAAAACTAAGAGACAGACCTGACAAAATAAACACAGAAACTATGACAATGAACAAACCTAATGATAATTGATGGCTTATCAAAGAATACACAGGACAACAAGTGATGGCTGATCAAAGAAAACACAGGACAACAATTTCAGCTAGATCAACTTGGACTTTGTAACTGGCAAGATTTTAAATGAGAGGGACCCCAGATTAGGGGAAATGGGGCCTCAGTGGAGATGTATGGACCCATGGGAAACTTGCAGAGAGGAACAAAGAGAGTTCAGCCAGAAAAGGGTATAGAAGGGGATGGTTGTGTGCAAAACAGGGTCATCCAGTGCATTTTTCTGGCTGAGCCTTGCACCTGCTCACCAGTCTGTTCTATCAACTTACATCTTCTTAATAAATATTTTCTTATCCATGTTTCTGCATCATCTCACTATTTCTCACTGTGTATATATGTATGCTGCAAGGACTAAGTGGCAGCTGCTGGTGGCCCTGCATATGTGCGAATAAAAATTGGTTCCAGATACTGGAGTGGGATGTGGGTCTGATGTCAGGAGCACAGGGGAAAGTGCCTGTGTCCTCCTCAGATTTGGCATGCATGGGATTGTGAACGTTTTTACTGACAAATTTTAAACTGGACTCAACAATGGTCAGGGATCTTTGGGTCCAGGAGAAGTGCTTGGGAGGTCCACACTTAGGGAAGACTTGCAAATGGACTTGCAAATGTGGGGTGCATGAGGGATTAGCATGTGAGTTCTGTGGGTTTCAAGCAAGCATCAAGTGTGCACTGGCTGGTGAGCTGGGGGCCCATGAATTAGAGAAGAGGACTTGGGATACAGGAAGGAGTATTGGGCAAACATAATTCGATACTGAAGGGATCCATGAGTGTGTGTGTGCTTGTGAACCTGGAGAGTGTTGCGCATGTGTGTATATGCCTGTATTAGTGATCTTCTGCCTTCCCAGAAGACGAGGGGAGTGGGCTGCCTGTGCTTGTAGTCAGTGACAATCCTGTATGTAGGTGCTGCTGAAGGCAAAGCCTTGGCTGTGTCAATCCGAGTGACTGCTACTGGCTGAGTCTCCAAACAGGTCAGCAGCCTTCCTGACCTGGGTCTGCTGGTCAACAGCAGCTGAACATGAGCCAACTTGTGTCCAGGTGGACAAGGGTTGGCTGAGGGAGCTGAGGTTGTTTAGCCTGAAGAAGAGGAGGCCTGGGGGAGACCTCATCACTGCAACTATCTGAAAGGAGGTTGCAGGGAGATGGGGGGTTGGTCTGTTTTCCCAAGTAAGAAGTGATGGGTAGCTTCAAGATGCACCAGTGGAAGTTTAGATTGGATATTAGGAAAATGTTCTTCTTGGAAAAGATTATCTAGAATTGGAATAGGATACCCTGGGAAGTGGTTGATTGAAGGTATCTATAGTGCAAGATACAGATCGGGCAGCAGGCACGTGGTTAAGTGGTGGACTTAGCAGTATTAGATTCATGGTCGGATTCAATGACCTTATCAGTTCCTTCCAAACTAAACTACTCCTTAATTCTTTGATTCTATATTGGATACCTCTTGGAAGTACTTTACCTATCTGCACATTGAATCCTGACTTATGCAGCACAGCTTTAAGAAATATCTGCTTCTCCACAATGTAATTTATTATTCTTGCAGGAAAAAAGTTCCTCTGCAATAGCAATGCTCACATTAACTTGGATGTGTTGTTGGGTAATGAAGATGTTTTTAAGTAATCTTAAAATATTCCAGGAATGCAGAACATTTGTCAACATAAATGTCTGTTAATATATCACTCACCTATATCTAAACCAGGAGTATGTCAATAATTATAGTTAAAATATATCTCATGTTCAGTGCTAGTGTCACTGCATCTGACCTGTTCAGAAGTTCTTAAGGCATTGATTTAAATTAGTCAAATGGACCTTTAAGAAAAAAGCTAAATGTACTCTTCTCTGCAGCTTTTCAAACTATATTCGTTTGATTGGTTCTTACATTACTTTTTTTTTAATGTATAATACAGTAGGTTCTTGGAGAAAACATTTGTTTTCTTGGATCTTATGGAATCTATGCTGATAGCTCTGAGTCTTGCTGAAGGAAATGGCAGCAAAAACAAGTACCACAGCAATAAATGCATAGACACTCAGCAGTTTCACATTTCTATTCCTCCTGTGAAGTCATTACAGCTGTGCTGATTTACCAAACCTTGTGATCTGTCAGACTCATTTCAAAAATACTTCTTTGTGGGATGTCATTCCTCTTGTTGTTTCTCTCAAACATTCATACAATAAGCGACTAAATAGTGCTCAGCTTCTTTTAGGTAAATATAAAAAGTAGCATATATTCGTTTTAGAAATAATACCAAGAGTGTAGGAGTTACTTTAATTATTTTACTGAAGTCAGAATTGGATGTATAGGGTAGAGATTTAACTACATTGTCTTTCAAAGAAGAGTTTTGTAATCTTTAATAGAAATCAGGGAATACCTTTGGTGGCTTCAGTTGTATAAAAAGCAGCACAGAAAGGACCCAGGTAGTTTTGCCTATTCTTACCTTGCTTGTTTATAAGATTTGTGGGTACTATATTGGCTGTAAAGCCTACCCTTTACTTGCACAAAACATTTAGGCAGCGCATTGTTGGAATCACATCTGTATTTTTTCAATAAAAGACTGAGGGCTTTTTTGGGTTTTTTGGGGGTTTTCTTTGGTGGGGGCAGGAGGAGTTTTGTAATAACCTGTTTCTAATTCTTTAATATATTTGGGTTGTAGCTGCCTTGATGGGATTTTTTTTTTCCTTAGAATTTGGTTAAATGACAAGGAAGAGCATTTCTCTCATTTCTGTATATATGGAATTTTTTAACAATATTAAAATTTATAATTTTAATTTTTAATTTTTCTGAAATCACAGCTTTGAAATTACAATGTTTTGGGAGGGAGAAACATATTACAAAGTCACTCTTGAAATCAGTGCCTGGTGAATATTTAATGACAGTTTTGGTGAAGCAGAGTTACTGCATTGGTTGCATTTTGAAGAGAAGGTAGGCAACATGCATTCAGCTAATGTACCCATATCCTACATTACCTAAATATCTCCCAATTAGCAGATTTTTTTTTTTTTTTTTGGTCACAATCTCTATGAGAGAGATCAGGACTTGAAAAACAAGGACTAAGAGAAGAGGATGTCAAGTGCAAAAGGCTGGATCAGTGTGAAAATTAAGATGACACTTAAATAGCTAGGGACCCATATTAGCAACTTGAAAAGAAGAGCAATGACCATCTCTAGATACAAAACAGAACTCAGTATTTGCAGGGGATTAAAGAAAGCTTACATTGACATCAGCCAGTAAACATAAACTTGTAATGATAACAATCATGCTAGCATTACTACTAACAATAAATATTATCTTCATAATTTATATTTTTATAGTATGTCTATCATGTATAAGGCAAATTTCTTTACTTCCTAAAAGTAATGAAAATAAATAGTTTTTAAGAAAGGACTACTCCAAAAAGTTGAAAGTTTATCAACAAAAACATATATATGTGACCAAGGCAGGGTGACATTTAATATTAAATTGATATTATCCATATTGAAATTATCACAGAACTTCAATCCTGTATCCAGGTCTGGAGACCCCCATGAAAGGACACCTGCAAGACTTAGTGGTAAAATGACTCTTGTCGTGAGTTAATTTCTTTGGGGCTGACAGTATTAAGTAAAACTGATTACAGAATCATAGATAACTGAGGTTGGAAAAGACTTCTCAGTTAATGAAATCAAAATATCAACCTAACTCTGACATGTTCACCACTAAACCCTGACCCTAGATATCATGTCGATACTTCCAGGGAAGGTGACTAATTTACTTCCCTGGAAAACTATTCCAGTGCTAGACAACCTTTTACAGGAAAAAAAATTCCCTAGTATCTAATTACACTTCTCCTGGTGTAGTTTGAGGTCCTTTTCTCTCATCTTCTTACTTGTTACATGACAGAGAAGACTGACCCCTACTTCCCTGCAACTTTCTTTCAGTAGTTTTAGAGAAAGTTCCCTTCCAGCCTCCTTTTCTCCAGTCCAAACAACCCCAGCTCCCCAAACTACTCCTCATAGGACTTGTGTTCCAAAGCCTTCACCCTCTCTGTTGTCCTTCCCCAGATTTGCTCCAGCACCTTCTGGAAGCAAGTGGCATAAAACTCAACACAGGACTCAAGGTGCAGTCTCACCACTGCTGAGCACAGGGGGAAAATCACTGTCCTGGTCCTGCTCCTACACTATTTTTGATCCAAGTCAGGATACCATCAGCCTTCTTGGCCACTGAGGCACATGCTGGCTCATGTTCAGCCTCTCTTGACCAGCACCCCTAGGTCCTTTTCTACCAGGCAGCTTTCCAGCCACTCTGCCCCCTGCCTGTAGTGCTACACAGGGTTGTTGTGACCCAAATGCAGACCTGGAACCTGGCCTTGTTGAATCTCATACAATTGGCCTTGGCCCATTAATCCTGCCTGCCCACATCTCTCTGCAGAGTCTTTATACCCTTCAACAGAATAACCTCCCACAACCCACCTTAGTGCCATAGGTAAGCTGACTGAGAGTGCACTCGATCCAATCATCTAGATCATTGATAAAACATATTGAACAGAGCTGACCCCAGTACAGAGCTTAGGGGAAAACTAGTACTGACTGTCCCTCAATTGGATAGTAATGATTTAAAGATTTCTTGCTCTCAGGTAGGATTAGAATGCCATTGTTTGTACTTCAGCCTTGTACTTGGTGAAAGTTTCTTACAATCAAGTAAAAAACTTATGAAAGGAAACTTGATTTTTCTTGAGCTTTAGGCATAAAGTAGAGAGTCAAGAGTTTGCAAGTTCTCCCTGCTCACATTTAAATTCCAACAAAATAGGCCTACTTCTGAATACTTTTAAAACATGCTCCCTCAATGGCATGAGGATAGGATGATCCACATCACAGGTCCAAATAACAGACTCAAGCCACTCTCACATTAGTGGGATCTCTGATTGTTGCAATGGACTCAAAAGTCTTCTGTAATGTATGAATGTCAGGACATATCAACAGGCTCCTAGAGAGGTTGCTGTTGTAACAGAGTTTCAATACTTGACTAAGGTACAATGAACATCTTATTTGGATGAACTCTAATGGCATTTTGATTGTGCTTCAGTGGAGCCACAATGTCATCCACCAAATGTCTCACGCACACAGTACATAATATGACTATATTTCAAGGAATAATATACTGCTAGTTCCTGATACAAATCCTTTCAGGTGTGCCCAGGCCAAGGTGACCTAACTTCAGATCTTTTGAACATATCGTTATAGACCTTATAAGTGACCTTATAATCATTAAAGAAATAAAGAATAAGAATTTGAACATAATAAGGTCTCAGTTTCTCTATAATAACTTTAATTACCGTGAAAGTATTACTTTCTTTTGCTGCAGGAGGAAGTTATTAATTTATAACATTTAGTTCTCTTCTGTTTTATTGTTTAACTAAATAAAAGTCTAGGCCAAAGTTATCCTGGTGTGTTTCCTAGAGCTGTTCAAGATATGCCGGAGATCCAATTTGCTAACACCTGTCATCTGCCCAACAACATGACAATGAAATTCATGCTTAAACTCTCACAGAGAGGATGAAAAGCAAGATAGTACCATCAATTCCAAATACAAGTTAAAGACTTCAATGAAAATGGATACTGACTATCCTATAGTAGACTTCCAGCAGTAGTGTTCTCTCGGGAAGTGTGGAAACCCAGGGCACTGGGAATATTTCTCTCTTTGCTCTGGGGTGTCCTGACCCCCCAGGGGAGCACTGACTTTGACCCTCATTCATGGAGAAAACTTCCAAAGCCTCAAGGTAAACTAGAAACCTCTAGTGTGAAATAGATTGTAGAGATCGTAGAGAGTAGTGTAGTATATCACATGGGTGAGAAATTTATGTTTTAGGATTTTTAGTATGCTATATATGGGTTCAAGATGGAGGATATAGGGTGTTATCTTGAGTTCCTTTCTTCTTTCTTCTTCTTCCTCTTTCTTCTTGGGTTTAGGTGGTATCTTGTAATTGGGCAGAAAAATCTGCATTGCTGGTCTTTATGGGTCAGTTATTGGGTTAGAAAGGGAAATAATCGAGGTGCCACTTCCTACTTGGGTGTGGGAACCCCTGGCCTGGTTCAGGGGTCCTGTGTGATGGTAAAGTCTCTCCTCCAACCCGTGCTTCCAAATAAAAACTCTGTAGCCTCTTGTTGTTCGGTCTCAAGGCAGTTTATTGCTAGTTATCTAAAAGATTGTCTTCGCGGACTGCGGCTGTTTGGTCAGCGGCCCAGGCAGAGACACACACACTCCTGACACCCTCTCTGTCTGGTGTCTTCTTCTTCTCTCTCCCCACCCTGGGCTCCTGCTATCTTTTATATGATATATTACGTGATACATGTTTACAGTTTTTCCCCAATACCTACTACCTATGTTACAAGGTGCTTTTCTACTCTAAACCAATCCATAAGTGCCAGCATCACCAAGAACATGGAGGTAAGGAAGAAGAAGGAGGAAGAACATGATCAGCCCACTTTCCTCTATCTTAGAACTTCTGACCCCCATGTACAAAGTAAAAACCCCCCTGTACAGGTGCTAAAACCCTCCTGTACAATACTAAAAAATTTTCCCTTCTACTTTGTAATTAGACTACTATACTATCCAATGCTTTGTGACCCCTTGTTCCATCTTCAAAGTTGGTAACTCATTCCATGGCTCAAACTCAAAATCACAGCTGTTTCCAGCTGCTTGCCAGGGTCTAAAATGCTTTTGACCAAGGCCTGGAACCTCCAAAAATGTCTGAGGGACACTTTGAGTTCCAACACTTGGATAGCTTAGTTTTTTATTAGACTTAAAAGGCCTTGTAACAAGAGATTGCTAGACATTTTTGTGCTGTTTTTCCTGCACACAGAGTCTGGTGCAGACAGTGTGCTGAAGTTTTGATAAGATAACAACAAACAGAAGCTGAAGACCAAAAAAGTCCAATGCATCTCTTGTTCCTGATACAGAACTTCTCCTGGAGGGTCTCCCCTGCCAGTGGAGCCCCCAGGGAGCTGCCCAACTTGAGGCCTGCAAGCTCACAGTAAGTCTCCCTTTTGACAACTCCGTTTAATAATGTATGTTTAAAGCAGTCATAGCAATAAATGGCATTTAATTGAGATTCAGGTGTAAAGAAAGGTGCTAAGAGTATTTCGCAAAATCTGTCTGATTAATTGATTTTACTCTAGTTTCATATGGTTTTCCTCCTTCCTGAGGATTAATGGGATTAGATTTTAAATAATATCCTAATAATCTTAAACTGCCTTAAACTTAAGGCAGTTAAACTGCCTTATAAATGAGGAACTGCTAAATTTCTAGTGTTGTCCCAGATTTAGGGCAACCAGATCCTCAAAAACACAAACAGAGGTAATTTGCATTTGACTTTCAAGCAAAATTGACATGTAAAATCAATATAAAGGGTGCTTCAAGGCTCTAATTGTCCCTGAATAGACATCTAGATGATTTAGGCCTTAACATTCACAATTAATTTGAGCCACAGGTTTCTGACTGGTGTTAAATTAGACCCTGGATAATTTCACACTAGTCAAAAATCTGGTGTGAAATTAACCAGGGTCTAATTTAACATAAGATCTTGCACTGCAGGAGCAATTCTTATGCCTCAGTGTAACTTGAAAGCGTTACACTCTCGATCCTATTACGATTTCTTTTTTCATAAGGTCATCTTTTATGAAAAAGCACAGGACCTTGGAGCTCAAATACATTCCATTTCTATTTAACTAATCATTTTAATAATGCTCCTTAGTGTAACAAGCAACAGCAATATAATCGGAAAGAAGAATGTATTCTCCACTTAAAAGAAGGCACATACAGAGGATAATTACAGTTCCCAGTGTAAAAACCCCAGCATTCCTTACATTCCTTACTCACTTGTTTCTGTGGCTGTAACAGTTATGTTGTGCCAAGAAGCTATCTCTCGGTCCAAAGGTTCAGTGGTAATGATTGCTCCATTGTGCTCATTGATGCTGAACAGTCTCTTTAAATGAGTGCTGTGGACAATAGAGTACCTGCACCAAAAAAAGGAAAGACATTCTGTAGTACTGAAAAGTTTCATCAGAGGTAAGGACATAAAAAGCTATTGTCAGCTGAGAAAACAGAGCTGTGCATATATGCATATAAATGTGTGCCTCAACAACTCGTAAATCATGAAAAACATATGTGTATAAACATTTAAAATTCACTGCCACCAAGATCAAAGCTCTTCTTTTTATAAAACTAAATATGTCTCAGATCTATATTAATAAGAACTGAATCTGAAATGCATTATTCATTTTTACTTCTAAGTCTGTCTCACAGCAGGTGAATGACTTCATTGAAAAGAAACAGCAAAATTGCCACTTGTGAAATGAATAACACCAACATCTAAGTGGAGGTATCATGGCAAATCTATTTTAGCATTGCTGACATGCTCTGATGCCAAGGGAATGGGCATTATAAAGGCATACAGCTATCTGTAATGAGGTGACACTAAGGCAGAGTGCAACATCCTAATACAGGAGATGATTGCAGAAAAGACTCAGTGCTCTCGAGTCTTTGCTGAAAAGGCTTCAGATGCTGTGGACATGTACATGTGCACATACATATACACATGCCACTCAAGCTGCTAAAGTCTAACCACCTGTTGCAGGACAAAGATGAACTGAAATAGAAACCAAAGATATTGGTTCAAATGTAAAATATATTTACTGATGTTTTTAATGGCCTACAAAGCAAAAGATCATATGATGCAGTTGCTAATAAAGTCTATTTCATGGAAATAAAACCTGTTTGAATAGTAGAAAGATTCTTTCCACTTCAATTTGTAATGACCACATGCAACTATTCCTTTCTATTGCACCTTTACTTCTGCTTGACAAAGCCTTTCTGTTTCCTGTTGACACTTAGTGCTCCAGCTCAGACATCGTATCAGCAGTTAAATGACTCTCTAATTTGTTATTTATAGATACATTTTGTGTCTTTTAAAAATCAGTAAGTAGATAAATTGAAGAACCGGAACAATACTATACATGAAAGCTGTTATAATCTGAAACAAATTTTGGATACTTATTTAAGGTATTTATAATATTACTGACATAGTCATTATGTTTGGGCATTTTTCCTTAATAAACATTTTTCAAAAATATTATATTAGGTATTTGGGTTTTTAAAAAAATTTTATTATTAACATTGTGAGGTTTTGTTGCACATCTTTTTTAATTTATTTGTTTGAAACCTGAAGTTTACAAAGCAACAAAAGTTGCTTTCTATATTTTAAGTAACTGCAGTCATTTATGATAGGAATGGTTTCAAAATTAAACTCATTCTCACAGCACTTATCCCAAAAAACATATGTTTATATTAGAAGTTATATACTCTATTCTAAAATAGCTCATTGATGTATCACTGTTTTGGGACTATGTGGACATATTCAATTTGAAGCCAGTTCCTCCAAAACATTTCTGAATAAGAAGTTATAGATATGTGTTAATGTTTAATTGTTCTACAGGAGATGTTGAAGTCATCTAATCAAACCCCCAGATGAGCCCATTTAGAGGGGGAAACAAAAAAATCCATGTACATTTTTTTCTTATTTAATTTAACCTATTACTAGTCTAATAAATAACAGTAAATTCATGGAAAATCATGACAAATCACCACCTACAGCTCTGAAGCCATAGCATAATATATATGTATTTCTCCTATTAGAAATCTACACCCCATAAATTATTTTGTCACTGTATCCTGCTTTGCCTAAATTGCATAGTACACAATGATGCCAGGCAATTCAAGAGGTTATTTTAATTATAAATCCCATGTTAAAGATTAATTACCTGTTTTCTCATTTAGAGACAGCAAAATTATTTATCATTGACACCATAAAAAGCAGAATCTGCTTTTGCTGGATTGAGTGGCTAGGTCTCAGCTGGCTTGTGGTGAGCAATTATTTTGGGTCTTTTGGCATTGCTTTTTTTCCTTGGGGATTTGTTGTAGATTTGTTTTTTTTCCCATCTCTTATTTTCTTTGATACTACTACTACTACTACTAATTATTATTATTATTATCATTAAATCTCAATAAAATAATAAAAAACTTGAACCCATGAACCCATTTGAACCCATGAGTTCTCACAACTTTATGCTTTCAATTCTCTTTTGCATCCCAGTGGCTGTGGGAGTGATCAAGTTCCTGTATGGTCCTTACCTACCGATGTGGGTTAAACCATGACATCTGCAATAACCTTGGCTATCAGAGTAAAAGAACAATTAACTGTAATTATGAGCTATGGTGAGGAACAGAAATACCTCTGGAAATACCAACTACATTTGCATTTGATGCCTGTTCACATTTTAAGACAGGTACCTGATTGGACTCTCATCATCATCTGGATCTCTGGCAGTTACGAACCCCACCAAAGCACCATTCATAGCTCCTTCAACAATCTCCATCATGTAGTTCTCCAAGGTGAAAACTGGAGGTTCATCAGCATCTTCCACATTGATTTTGACAATGGTTGTGTCTTCAAATGGCTCTTCTTTCAAAAAACGCTCATCAATGTATCTGTTTACAGCTTTTACTTGAATACTGTATCTCCTTTGGCTCTCATAATCCACTCTCTGTTAAGAAAGAGAGTGAGATTTGGAATATTTCTTTCTTCATATTTAAATTAAATATAATTCAATAACTTATATGAGATTAAAGACTAAGTAATGCTATACTTTTAAGAATATTAAAAAAAAAAGGTTACTACTAAAAGTTATTTCTAAGGTTTCCTTTTTATGTTAGAAACCCTTTCAGATTCAAATGTTTGCTTGTTTTCTTTCTTGCTTTCACATTCCATACTGGCTATAATGCTGCAGTCAAGAAATACTGTAAAAAAGTAATTCCCATAGAATGTCAGTCCTAATAACACATAATTTCATTATAATTTTAGATAGTCTTTATCTTCTGACATAAATAAATAAATAAATAAATAAATAAATAAAACCTACTAAATAAATCGCTTCTCAAACTAAAAAAAAAAAAAACACACAAAACAAACAAAAATATCTAAACAAACTAAAAAAACTCTCACACCTAAAGCATTCAATTCTTCAGGGTCTTACATTTCACTAGGTTATTGAACTCTATCTTCATGTCAGATGATCCCTGAGATGACTGAGGAATCTTCTTGAGTGATTCCAAAATAAATTGCACAGTATAAAAGAATATTAATTTTCCTATTTCATAAACTGGTCTTTTCTGGATTCTTCTTAGTATCTTTTTTAAGCTATGTACCAACAAAAACTCCACTATCCAATATGTTAATAAATTCTTGTTTCAGTTAACATGAGGTGTTGGAAGTAAGGTGAGATTTCTTGCAATTTATTGATAAATATTTTACAGGCAATGCACAAAAGAGATAGAACATAATCTCACACTGGGATACACTGTGTGGCACAGTTAGGGAATAACATCAAGATACTCTGAATGTCACTATTATATTCAGCAGTAATAGGAATGAATCAAAAATGTCAACAGAAAGAAAAGCATTTTTCTTTTTATCCCTCATAATATTCCAATCAAATCACAAAGCCTAAAGAAAAAAAAAAATAAGACAATCCAAAGCAGTAGACCTTTTTTTACACATCCAGCTTACCTGAGGATTTTCTTTCAAATATTTAGAGATTTTTTTTTTTATGTTTCTGAGATCTCACCTTTTTCAGTAAGATAATTCCTTCTTGAGTCTCATTGTTAGTAATGATGTCAAAAACACCTGAGCTATCTGCTTCAATGAAATAGTCCATGGCTGTGTTGTCCCCAGTGTCTCTGTCTTCTGCAAAGACTTTGCCTACAGTGGTGCCCACGGGAGCCTCTTCAGAGACACTCATATAGTAGAGTCCTAAAGAAACAAATACTGGCAAAGTTTAGTGATCTGCCATGGTTAATAAGTGCTGCAGCTTGAGGTTCTTGGAGAGCTGGGAAAAGCCCCTACTTCTACTGGAGCAATCTATGTGATCTGACATTGTATAGACTAATGGTTTTAAACTGAAGGAGGGAAGGTTTAGATTAGCTATAAGAAAAATGTGTTTTACTCTGAGGGTGATGGAACACTGACACAGGTTGCCTAGAAACAAGGTGAATGTTCCATCACTGAAAAAATTCTAGGTCAGTTTGAAGGCAGCTCTGAGCATCCCTGCCCAAGAAGAGGTGGACTAGATGATATTTAAAGGTCCATTGCACCACAAACTATTCTATGATTCTGTGACTGAACATGGTGAAAAAACAGTGGAGGGCAGCACTTCCCAACAGCACAGTTTTTTCCTGGTAGCCCAATGAGCAGCTCCCACATCTGCTAGAAACTACCTGGACAGAGTGGTTCACATCATTTGCCAAAAACTCTCTAGAATGCATCAGAAAAAAATGAAGAGAGGAAAAGAAGAAAGAAGGAGAGTTGAAAATTATGCTAAATATCCCATTATTCAGATTTTAGGCTGAGGTAGTACAAATTATAGGGAAAGCAGTTTAACAATTTGTCTCCAAAATCTATTAGTACATAAAATCAGCAGACTTGAGATTTTTGCAATGATAGAGTTTTCCTCTTGATTTCTGAGCTTTTGTGAGGATTTTTTTTTCACTATTTTACTTTTTTACAGCTATATGCTATAGTCAAAGCACAGCCCTGTTCTAAAAGACCTACCTGCAAATCTAACAGAGCTACAGTGGATCTAAACTTCCTCAAGACTTCCATTACTGTAATTAGCCTGTACTCACGCTGTTGAAATTCAGGTGGATTGTCATTGATGTCGGAGAGATTGATGGTAACAGTGGCTGTTGCAGACAATGCTCCTGGTTGCCCAACCATATCTTTGGCTTGAATGATGACCAAATACTGCTCTTTTGTTTCTCTATCCATTTGGGAAGCCATTCTAATGACCCCTAAAAACAAGAAGTATAATACAATGGCATATAAGTCTCAGTTTTTTCTCAACATCTGACATGGGTATACAGTATAGATGCACGAAACATGAATTTTCATTCTAAACTGTGCATAGCACAACTGGTCTTATACTGGGTATTAGTCTTCATGGTACTATGCTGTATGTCAAACCCATATATTTAGTTCTGGGGAGCAGAATACTCCATATATTTCCTCTACCTTATAGAATCATTTTTCTTAGAAATTAGGCTTTTGGAGGGATGTCACATATCTGTAATTTCTCAACATGCAGGTAGAAATATCACATGATGTGCCATAGAGATGTTGATTGAGAAGTGTTCCTAGATTAATTTATAAAGGGTGATATTCAGAGTCTATCTCTTTAACAAGATAATTTTCTAATAAGGTTTAGATTTGCTAGAGAGGAAGAATTTCATTTTCCTATGGGAAAGAAAAGTTGATTTTTTTTCAGATCTAGGAACTATGCAGAGATGTAAGAGTGTAGAGTGGTACCAGTTGATCTTTGTGTTACAATCAAGAAAGACAATTTTGTTTGCATCCATTTTATGACTTTATGAATGTACAAATTCATTTGTAGTACCTGTCTTTGGCTCCACAGAGAAATAAGGCTGTCCCTCAAGAAGACTGTAAAGCAGACGAGCACTATTCCCATAAGAAGGATCATCAGCATCTGTAGCTGTTACCTGTGTAACCGAAGTACCTCAAGGAAAAATAAAATAGATTATGTTTGTTTTCTTCTTGTATAAGTTATAATTGTGAAACATAAATTCTTTAAAAAACTTTTAGCATACCAGTTATACTAATAAACAGTCCTAAAAATTTAGAGGAGCAAATGGCACCTATTAAATTTACTATTAAAAAGGGAAAATATTTCCTCAGCAGCTGTTCTTATTGCATTCAAAATTTCAATTAAAATAAAAATAAATTGTATATGCTTTTTCAGCACAACATTTATATTGCCTAAAATGTGACATATCATGCCTATTTTCTAATGTCAATGGGATAAAGCAAATTGTTTCTCCTCCTCTCCTTCAAAGTATTTTATGGAATTTTCCCAAAGGAGTAAGAAAATACAGTAATTTTATCACCAGTAGGTCCACTGGTGATAAAGAAATTAATTGTTTACAAGCAAAGCAACCAAGAAGTATAATAAGGCTCTGATAAAGTTTTTTTTTTATTTTTGAGTCTTTAATAAGCTTGTCCCAGTGCAAAATTTGTGGCAGAAATCCCAGTGCAAAAACACAGTGTAATCAAAGTACAGAGCTTGGTTTCTTCTTTGATGAGAAGCTGTTCATATCCTAGATAGAAGATTGCCAGTAATCTCATGACACCTTCTCTAATGACTGTCCTTTAAAAAAAATATCCACAGTAATATCATTTTTTATGGTAATCATTATTTTTGTCTTTTTTTCCTCACCTAGATTCTGCATTAGAATGCAAATATCACTTCGTGTGAGGAACAGCAGGAAATCAAGCTACTTTCTAAAAATTTCTGGCATACATTCTCGTAGTTGCACCTGCTTATCAATACAGAAGTATAGTTAGGCTGGAGGAGAAAAGAAGAAAAAAATGTGCAGTGCCGGGAGTTAGACCAGAAACACTATTTTTTTAATGACAAAAGCAAATGTAATATTTGTCCCAAATAAAACAAATATATAAATTGCTGGGTTTTCTAGCAGCTAAATAGTTTTATTTTTAAATAGAAATGAAAAAAGTTTTCTCATATAAGGATAGGCTAAATTAAATTATTTGCTTCTTTAAAAAAAAATATTATTTTGCACTTTCTCTCAATTTATTGAGCAGCATTTGAAGTGATTCCATAACGTGTGTTTTCTTCTCTCAGGCAGAGATTAAACTAAGCTGTTATCAATTCCCACCAAATTTTGGACCCATATGTCCTTCATAAATTACCTACAATATCAAATATCTGACCTGTGGGTTTAGATGCATAAGTACAGATTATTAAGATGTGTGTATAGATATATAAATATATATACAAATCCTTCTGCTTTGGAGAAATTTTAAAGATAAAATTACAAATTCATATTCAATCAGGCCACATATATGCCTCAGAAATAACATAATTCTTTAATAAGACTGAAGCGTAAATGGAATCTTCAGCTACAGAGCTGTTAACATCGTATCAGCTGTATTCTATTAAAATTGCTCTCACAATCACAGAAAATTCATCCTCCAAGAAAATTAGCATGACTAGAACACAGTTGCTTTGAAAAAAAAAAAAATTGTTATTTAGGAAAGGATCAGGAACTATGAACGATCCAATAGTTTTAGTCTGTCATTAATGCCATTTTCTATTCGGCAAACTCCAGTGTCCACAGGTATGTTTAGGAATGGACTTATTTATAGGAACATATTTAGTAAATCAGGAATAAAATCCAATATACATAGGACTTCAAAGTCATCATCACAGCTTTTGTACATCTCATATTTAAAGGTAAATCTATTTTCTGCACAGTTTCTAAGCAGTATAAAGAAATATTGAATCTAAACCAGCATTTCCCTCTTCTCTGAGACCAAACACACTTTTCTTCTTGTCTGTTAACTCTTCTAGAGTATTTCAGAACACAGTAGTAAGGACTTTGTTCAGCTGGAGCCAGTGGGATGCAGCTGGTGGATGTAATCAATGGAAATGTGAATAGTCAAAAGGAATCAAGTACAGAAGGAGCTGACCTGAAAGGAAGAAATAACAGATATGTTGCACTACAAGGAGGAAGACAATTTATTTCTAAATTTGGGTGACAGGAGACCACGTAAAGAGCAGGCTATCATTTCTCATATATTTTTAGAACAAAGATTGTGTGATAACTACATGAAACTCTACGTTAGGTATAGGCAATGAAGCAAGAAGAAGAAAAATGTTACTCTGGCTTTAGAGTATTTTCTCAGTTTTTAATTTTTCAGTTTCATGAAAACGGCATTTCTTTATACCTTTAACCATCAGAAAAAACCAATCCACCAAAATGAGCTAAACTAAAACGGAAACAAAACCCCGCCCCCACAAAAAAAAAGAAACCAAAAAAGAAAAGAAAAAAAAACCTACCAAAAAAACAAACGCACAAAAAAACACCAAACCCAACTCAAACCATTTGCAGAACGGAATCATATTTATCTAACATTTGTATTTGGGTCAGTGAAATTGAAATTTTAATATTCTATACTCAAAAACTCCCAAGAGCCATTATTTGTAACTACATGATTGTGAGAAGAATAATTGCACAGATACAAATCATATATTTTAAAATAATCACTTACTATATTGCACACTGCACACACCCCAAAAAATTAAGTAACTGCAAAGCCCTAATCGTGACATTGCAAACATCGCATGATGTAACTGACAATTAAACTTTTTGATTAGTTTTATTTAAGGTTAACTGATACTTTATATCTCTGCAGCCTTGGTTTTACCCTTCTTGGGCAATATGTGGTAGAGTGCCATTTTATGCTGCAGCCCATTAGGTTTACTATGGGGCCCTCATATGGGAAATAGCTGTTCATTTTTCTAACTAGAGCTTGAGATCTATAAAGACATTAAGTACTGATACATTATTGCATCTGACTCTTAACCACTCCATCAGATATACTGCATTTGTACAAGTTTAACAGTTATAAGGAAGACAGTGTAAAATCGTACCAAATGCCTGAGGGTAAAGCAGAGTCCTGTGTTCTCAGAAGAGAGTCCATTTGCTGACACGCTTTTCATTTACTGTGACACTTGCATATAAAACCCTAATAACATTTAGTACTGAAGATAAAAGAGAGCTAATAAAGAATTTAAATGTATTCTAATTTGTTGGCACATTTGTATATATATTGGTACTTGTAACTAACTTCAGGCACAGCTATTTGTGTTGTATTTTCTGGTTTTACTGTGGTTGTCTGAGGCAAGTGACCAGCTCTGAATTATTATCTACTTGCTTTCTTAGTTCCAGACAAAATGTGCAGCAGCAGTGACCTGCTTTCCCAAGTCTTGACAATGCTTCCTAAGAGTGCTTTCTGTGAGGAAATTATCAGGAGACCAAGCATCAGTGATCTGAATCGAAGCTAGAGAGCACTGAAACAGAGCAAAGAGTGAGCCTCTGTATTGCACTCTCTATAACTCTGTTCTTCACCCCTTATTATGTAAGAGTATGTTTTAGTTTACTGGGAGAAAAACACTAGAACCACTATGTTATCGATACTGCAAACTTTAGTGGGTTATCCTTCCTCTCTGCTATGAGTTTATAAATTTTCTAGTAAGATTGGTTTAGAATGCATACTGAAACAGGTTCCACCTCAGTAGTGCAGTCCCTACCTTTTAAGAAGCAGGGTAAGTGAGTACTCATGGTAGTACACCCCAGAATTACTCATGGTGTATGGCTCAGTTGTTTAATGTTTTGGAGCTGACCCCTATCAAGGTATACACTTCACTTGCATTTTATATTCCAGACATATGCATTAGTGTTGCAGCAATGTCTCCATGGAAGAAGTAGATGAAAGAATGATCTCTGGAATGGCTATGGTATTAGTGCTAGTGAGGTCAAGTGTAGAAGCAGTAATGCAGAAAATATTCCAAAACCCTGGATGACCTGGATTATTCTATCGTACACTGGATAATCATAAATCAGTGAGTTTACTATTCAGGAAGTCCATGTTTAAAAGAGAAGGTAAATAGGGTTTTTGCTTCATTCTTTACCCATTCTGACTAACGGGACATGGTTTTACTTCTGATTTTTAATTTTTTTATTTCATATGTTTCTATATTTCACTGGAATATTTTTATTTATAATATTACAGGAATATCACAAAATAAATTACATTTTCTGCAGCTTAATTAATCTTATGCTGAAGTGATACCATGTTTTAGGAATCTAAATATATAATAGATGACACAGGAGAGTGGACAAAGACAGCTGAGCTTTTCATTTTTAGTGTATCTCTTTATAGAAAACTCAAGGCAGTATAGAGTGAAACTTTTCAATTGTCAACTGCTTATTGATGGTTTCAGGTAAGAAACAGAAGTATATGGGAAAAGATTGCTACTGTTGTTTTTGGTCTCAAGTAGCACTATACTTGACTATTTTTCTTTTTTTTTTTTTTTTCTTTTTTTCCCCATATAGCCATTATAAAAACAGAAAGATAAAATGGAAGAAATTCAGTTGTATGTGAGTGGTTATAAGTCTTTGTGAGTATAAATGAAGACATACTAAATAATCAGTCATTAAAAAACATTTTTATAAGGAGCCTGTAAACAGTGTTTTAACAAATGGGAGGAAAAAAAGAAAAAGAAAGGAATTATCAAAGCCCTAAATTTTTGAAATCCCAGATAATTCTACACAATGAACTGTACTCATTTTTACTATAAGCACATAAACAATAAAAATGCAAAGGTCTTTAGGAAGTCACCTGTCTTGTCTCCAAACTTGAGCAAATGAACAAGATGCAAAACCTGGAAGAACCCTCTGAACTAGCAACTGATTATGTTAGAAAAAGTTATTCAAGCAAAAGGTCAGGTGCAAAATTAGGTCTGTCTGCACAGAAGAAAGTGGCAGTGAAGAAACAATAATAGTGATTTCACCGATAGAAATTGGTATAAGCAGGTAGCAAGTATCACTAACAAGTAAATTGATCAAATGCATTTGAAGTCTTTTGCAGCTGCTGCTGGCAGTGATGATGAGCTGCTGTGTCCTGGTAGAAATTAGGATACTAACTTCACTTTCAATTAACAGGCATGAATATCTTTTTCTTTCACCTGTCATCCTGGCTGGTAGAAGAAGAAAAGTTTTATAGCTTGCTGTCAAATTTTCACTGATTCTGCTCTAAAAGTTGAGCAGATAATGTTTAATCGCATCACTGATGCTATTGCATTAATGACTTCATTGATTCTTACTATTTAAGGTAACACAATATTTGAATTTCTTTTCCAAATCAGTTGCAATAAAAATAAGGAAAAGGAGTAGGTGCATAAATTTAAAAGATTACTGGGATCTTTTATGTAAGATCTAAAGAATCTACTTTCTCTTTGATTTGAACGACAACTATTTGGAAATATTATCTATAACATTCCTGTTTACGTCAGCTGCATTAACACTTTGGGGTTTTTTAAGACTTGCATGTGCACATATTATGAATGCATATGTGTATGTAAAATATATATATGTATATATGCCTATATTCACCACATGTTGACTTTGCTTTGTATTTGTTGCGTTAAGTTTCCAAATACATGACAGATCCTAGTACAGGTCTGTCTGAACATGTGAAAGTGAGAAAGAAGAGGTACAGGGATTAAGTTTTTCCTCTTGACAGGAAAATTACAAATCATGTACTTGGGAAATCGGAAGGAAGAATGCATTAACTGCACACTATCTAATCCAAACAAGGAGAAGCTGACTGAAGGTAAAGAAGCTTGGCAATGTAAATAAGTAGGCAACATGTCGAGAGTGAGAGTGGCCATCACTTCTTCCCAACTGGCTGCAGTACTCTAGCTATTTCTACTGAGAATGTTATATTTTTAAACAAGTGCAAATTTCAAGTTTGAATCACTGATGGGAAAGACAAATGTCTATTGTCAATCTAAGCATGTATCCAGAATCTGTAAAAGGACGTGGTCAGATGTAGGTACCTAAATATTTAAAACCAAGAATGTTAAGTAGAGGTATTTACAACCCTCAGGTTAAGAATATACCTTTGCAAATTTCCAAACCTGTAAAAGAGTTGCTTTCTTCTTACTGAGATGCAGCCTGTAAAATATGCTATTAAGATTTTACTTCAACATCGCTGTCTAGAAGAAAATCAGGAAATAAAGGGTTTGATTCACAGTATATCATACCTTCAGGTGACATCTCTGGAACAGTGGCCACATAAGGTCCATCCAAGAACTGCGGTTCATTGTCATTGACATCTCGAACCTTGATGATAAATTCTGATTCAGGTTCAACAGGAAGCTTAGTGATCCTGTTAATTGCTTGTGCTCTTAGAGTGTAGAAAGGTTTCTTTTCTCGATCCAACTTTTGTGTTACATAAATTTTGCCGTTAAGTTCATCGATGACAAAAAAGCTTCCAGCTCCCTCCCCAGTCAAAATGTATTTTAAGTTACCATCCTGCTTGTCTAAATCTGATTTCAGCTGAAAGGAAAAGGGAGAAAAATAAGTCACAGTTTAGGAAGAATGAAGTTTTGAAACATTCATTTTATGCCTTGTTTTGATTCTACAGTGAACTCTGTCACTAATGAGCCTTCTTGGACACTATCGTTTGAAAGGAGGTGCTGCCACATTTTCAGCCAACCATTTTAATTTTAAGATATTTAAAATTATTTAATTTTAAAGTATGGATATAATGGACTTATAAATGTGTGATACACCTGAAAAGAGATGCTTCTGATACTTTGAAGTGAAGGGAATGCATCTAAGCACCTACTTTGGTTCATTGTTTTTTCAGCTCCCCTACAATTCTGCTGAAAAAAATGCAAAGGTCATTAAACATTATCTAACTTTTTTTTTATTATTGCAGATGATACATGTACTTTTTAAGTTGTTTATTTTTTTTACTCAACAATGCTAAGTGTAAATGTATGCAACAGTATGTTCTGTTTCTGTTGAAATATTAGAGGTGAAAAGACATTCTGCAGTGAAAGTCTGTATTGTTTATTCCAAAATAAATTGATGGACATTTTTCATTTCCTTCTAGGATGATCTACATCCTATGTTGTATTGTTAAAATGAACTTTGTGGTGATGATTCATTTAATGAAGCTGAGCCTTGGAGACAATTTTGGTCCAGCTGCATTTGTTCATGACAACAAAATAGTTTGGTTAATGCTAGTGATATATAATAGAGGAATATTTTAAGAGCAATAACTTCATTTCCTAACATGGGAGGCATCCACAGTTGAATTTTATGGGAACAAAAATTTCCATTTTATCATTTATTCTCTATTTTTTCTCCACTTATTTTTGTTTTAGAACAAAAAATATCAAATTCTCTAAGAAAAATCCAAAGGTAAAAAAAATATTATTCAACTTGCTTGTCTTATGAAGCAACATGTTTCAAATGCAAATATGCCTAAATACTGACTTTAATTATCTCACAGTTTTGCTTATGTTTATTGACCCTAAAGATCACTGTAAGTTGTGAGGCCATAGAAGAGGAAAGTAACATTTCCCTGTCAGATCTACTCAAATATTTTGTAATAACTTCTGAAGTTGTAAATATAGTTTTAACTTTTCTTTGGAAGAATGCCTATGCCTTTTAAGATTTTCATAATGCATAATTGTCTGCATGCATCAGATGGATAGTTTATTCAGAATGTGACTGGGACTCTGCTCTGAGATACGAGGGACAGTTTTGAGTTCCTACTGTGAGATCTGTAAAGGTATTTAACACCTAAAATATTCAGAGTTAATTATCCTTGCCAGTATAAAAGACAGAATTTTCAAGTGTTAGGGAGTTTAGAACCATTTAAAATATTAAAAACTTAAATATTTTTAACATAAGTAGTTGTGTGCTAAATATGGACCATGTTACGCCCTTTATAAGTGGTCTGGTGAAGCTCTTTTTAACACCATCCAAATTTAGCATCTTATTAAGGGGCAATGCAGATATTTTGTTACCCATAAATCTTAGTTTCCTCATCATATAACCCAGGACATGGGAGAAGTAATCTATATCTAGATCTTTAAACTAACATGGGGTTCAGATATGACCACAGAGTGTATCAAACAAACCCTTAGGGTCTGGGAGCATGCCTTTGACTGGCTGCTAAGACATAGCCTGTGTTAAGCAATTTCACTCAGAATCATTTATCTACAAAAGATTTCATAACCTTGAACATGTTAAATGAGAGGTCCCTTACAGATGACATTTGCTGAGAAAGAATAGCAAAGGTTCTAAGTTTACTTGGTTTTTTTTTAGGCTGGGAACAAAATAAATTGTCTTACAATTGTAAATGAGAACTGAGAACAAGTATTTTTATACTCATCCTTGTGTATCTGCCATTGCAATGCTGATGGACACATTTATTTTTTCTTAATCTTGATAATGGAAAAGAAGTCATGAGTCTATGTTAAATGAAATTTGAAAATTTAGTTCTGACTGAAAAAAGATTTTTATATGGAATAGTGATTTAAAAACAGAAACTGTCTACCTTTGTATTTTCGTTGATGCAGTTTTCTTCAGGGCCTTAATTACTAAAAATTCATGTGTTGATCATAGACTACCACTTCATTTGCTGAAAGCAGCGCATATTCTACTCAATAAAAAGACACAAGTAAATATGTCTTATTAGACAATGTTTTTACTGCAATATATTAACAATAATCTTCAATAAAATCCCCAGTTAACCTGTGAGAAATAAAAAGGTGAGATCATGAAAATACATGACATTTATGAAGCTTCTTTGCAGGAAATACTTTCCAATGTATTGGAAAAGTAATAATAATTGTTTAAAAAATTGTATGTCTTCACTTGTTCTTTCAGAAGTGAGACATCACACTTCCATAGTAACTACTTTGAAAGGGTGGTGAAAAAGTAATTAATGAATTTTGAGCACTTCACCCTTTGGGCCCAATTAAATTTTAGTGCTAGTTAATTAGCAGTTAAACTTATTTTAGTTCATTCATCTAAAAAGGGCTTTAAGAAATGAATAGCAGATCTCAAGATTAAAATTACTTCTAGCAATACAAAAATAAATAATAATAATAAATATAATAATAATGATAAGCAGAGAGAGAAGAGGGCAGATAAACCCTCATTAAGACAATTATCTTACAGCATATTTTTAAAGAAGGGTGAAAAATAATTGGTCGTTGTGCTAAACCTAAGTTAATCTAATGAACCATGCAGATTCCTGTAGTTTCTCAGTGGTTAAAAGGATTTAGTATTAATCAGCTTCATTAAAAATTAATGAGGGGTAAATCAGCTGCTACTTAGTGTAACAGAAAATCAAGCAAAATCCTGTTTGTAAACTACACTACACTCAGTATGGCTGCTTTGATGCAGTGCCAAAAATAGCACAAGCAAATTGCCAGATGTTGATAAATGAGTCCTTAACTTCCACTCAGAAGGAAGAAAGGAACTTTTCAACTTTATACCTTCATCTGCTGTATGTGGAACTAGTTTTAGTAACAGCATGCATGTGAAGTGTCTTTGGCAGCAGTTCTCAGTGAAGGAATGTGCTTGGTACTGTCATGGCCTATAGCTCTCAGACTTCTCTGACCTTGAGAAAGGTCACAGGAAAGGAGAGATGTAGTACTGCCTTATTAGAGCTTCCTGATCTCCTCTTTCTATGTTTCTTGCTATTTCCACATCACTGGAGATATTTGGCCTTCCAAGTCAGGGTAGAAGCTGCTACTCAGCATGCTAAATCTACCCTTGTACTGTCCTTGAATCATTACTTATCATACCTGTCCGATATACACAGGATCTGGTGAAATCTGTTCCTCAGTTACAAAAAGAGGTTCCCACAGCCAGCTACGTTTCACTCTTCGAACTGGTGTGAAAGACTGAACTGTGTTTTGAGCGCTGGAGTTCTGAGTGCTGAGAGAACAAGGCCAAAGTTGAACCAGCATCACCATGAGACATAGCAATACAGAGGAATTCATGCTGAACCGTTCTTTCAATCAGTCCTAATCTGTGAAAGAGGAAAAAAAAAAATAGAAAAATCTTTGACAAAGCATTGCTTTTGTCTTTCTACTTCTATATATTGATTCTGTGCTAATGTAAGAGGTGATTTGTAGTGTTAAAAATCTCCTCCTCTCCCCAACAGTAAAGAGCTGAAATGAAGTCTGCTTCTTATTAAAATTTTAATAAGAATTTTTCAAAAGACCTTTCAGAGTCTCTAACATGAAAGTCAAGTGCTTAACTGTTCTTTATGAATATCCTACAAGGGGATATTTTATGCAAAAAAAAAAAAAAAAAAGAAAAAAAAAAAAAGAAAACAATCCTTCAATTAATTCATCTTTCAAATTAAGCCGGATAATTGTATTGTGTAGCCTAGGAATAATTTGATTGGAATAATTGTGTGTTTCTGCTTAGACAGGGCTCGTTTTGAGCTGCAGTCACAAAACTGCCTGAAGGGTGAATATCTTGTCTTCGTAGCCCTGATGTCTGACAGCTCAAACAGTGGTGCAGATATTTTTTTAACCTCTTCTTACCCATTTTCCCAGCTCAGAAAAATGCCTGCAAGAATGTTAAAGGTGATAGGGTACCATGAAGAAGCAGCAAAAATTTACAATTTTCTCCTTCCCAGCTAAACGGTTACACGGAAAAGGCAGAGTGTTTAATGAATTCTTTGCCTGTGCCTTTTTCACAGATGATGCACCACGGGGTTCCCACAGCCCTGAGCTGGAGGACCATGACTGCAACAATGATCAACTCCCAGTTCTTTAAGATTCTGAAATTGTGCAGAAGCTGCTGCTCCAGCTGGATCCCTAAAAATCTGTAGGGCCTGATGGGATTCATCTGAGAATCCTCAAAGAGCTGGTGATGTCATTCAAAACATCTCTCAATGGTTTTTGAGTGGTCTTGGGAACCCAGAGGAGATCCCAGCTGACCAGAAGCTGGTAAATGTTCTCTCATTTTTCAAGAACAGCATGAATGAGAACCCCAGATACTACAGGATTGTCAGTCTCATTTCAGTACCTTATCAAGTTATTCAAGAGAATGTAATTTTGGGAGGTGTTGAAAAACATCTGGAAGACAACACAGTAATTGGTCACAACCAGCATGGCTTTATGATAGGGAAGTACTACTTATCAAATCTGATTTCCTTCTATGACATGGTATCTCACCTAATTGATCAGTGGAAGCCTGTTGATGTAATCTTTCTGGATTTCAGCAAAGCTTTCAATACTTTCTTTCACAGGATCCTTCTAGACAAAATTTTTAGCACACAGCTGGATAAACACAGCATGGGTTGATGTTGGCTGAGCAACTTGCTCATGTGTTGGGCACAATGTTACAGTGAATGGGGTGACATCAAACCGGGAATCAGTCACTAGCGGTATTACACAGGTCTCCATGCTAAGCCCTGTATTCTTCAACATCTTTATGACTTTCATGCAGAACTGTAAGGAATATTAAGCAATGGGAGGAGCCTTTGAAGGCAGTCAGACCTTGCAGAAAAAACTAAAAAAATCAGGGGACTAGGCAATCACCAATTGTATGAGCTTCAACAAGGGAAAGTGCACCTGGGTTGAGGAAATCCTGGATGTACCTACTGACTGGGGAATGAGATGCTGGAAAGCAGTGCCACAGGAAGGGATCCAGGAGTCCTGGTCATTGGTAAGTTGTACCTGAGCCAGCAGTGCCCTGGCAGCCAGGACGGCCAGTGCTGTACTAGGGAGCCTCAGGAACAGCATGGCCAACTGGGCAAGAGAGGGGATTGTCGTGCTCTGCTCTGCACTGGTGCAGCCTCACATTGAATATTGCGTACAGTTTTGGGTGCCACAATATAGGAAAGACATTAATTTGCTTGAGAGCATCTGAAAAAGAGCCACGAGGATGGTGAAGGGGCTTGAGAGGAAGCTGTATGAGCAGAGACTGAGGTCACTTGACCTGTTCAGCCTGGAGAAGAGGATACTCAGAAGAGACCTCATTGAAGTTACAACTTCCTTGTGAGGGGAAGAGGAGGGGCAGACACTGATCTTTTCTTTGTAGTGACTAGTGACAGTTTCCAAGGGAATAGCCTGAAATTGTGTCAGGGGAGGCTTAGGTTGGATATTAGGAAAAGGCTTTTCACCTAGAGAGTGTTTGAAGACTGCAGCAGGCTCCCCAGTGAAGTGGTTAGAGCACCAAGCCCATAGACAGGATTCAAGAAGCATTTTGATGATGATTTTGGGTATGTGGTGTTACTCTTGGGATGGTCCTATGCAGCACTAAAAGTCGGACTCAGTGATTTTTGTGGGTCCCTTCCAACTCAACATGTCCTGTGATTCTATTAATAGAATTTGTCTTAACAGATTTACCACCTCTAACATTATTTTCTCGAATTAAACTGACAAAGGACAAATGTATCTTAAAAGCTGTATCTTTCTGTAGCTAGTTTCATTTCTACTATGTATACTTTCAGAAAATGAAGGTTTTTCACAAACTGTAAGCTATCACTGACTTTTCGGTGATTTTTGGCACAATGAAGGAAATTTTAAATATAATTCTATGCTCAGTTAAGAATTATATTTATATAATTCTAGAAATATTTAGAATTATATTTAAATAATATACATAAATAATATATTTAAATATCTAGAATTATATTTAAAATTCTTATTCTTTTGCCTTATTCTGTGAGGCAAAAAGAAAAATTTTGAAAATACCTGCCCATTTGGTAATGGAATTAGCCATTCTTTTCAAGGCTTTAACATTGAAGAATAGTATTTCCTATGAAGAACAAGTCTGGTTTATAAATTTGTGATGCACCAGTAGTTTGAAAAACACACTGAAAAAAAATTAGATTAATTTATCTTAGACATGAAAAATCCATGGCTTATAGCTGTTCAGGATAAAATATGAATCTATGTATTTTAAATTCATTATTTAAGTATTAATTATTTAAATACCCATACTTATCCAAAGGGAAATGCCATAATTGCTAAAAAAACCCCAAACAGATAATACAGAAAACTATTTCTTTCCTTACAGCAATTTTATATGATGTTGGACAACAGTTTGTTAAAATGTAATCTGCAGCGATGGATAAGAGAGAGGAGTTCTAAAAGTCAAATAGAAGCACAGAGACTAAAGTGTACATTCCAATTTCTTCACATTTTATGGTTTTTGACTGTGAAGCTGCAACAAAGTAAGACAAGATTTGAATAGAAAGAATGTGACTTGGGTACCCTGCTTTTGCAGTTTCCTGTAGAAAACTTATTTTCCCATGGCTGCAAGAATAATATTTGTGACATGGAATAAAGTCCATAAAAGCCCAACATGGCTCTGAAATTAGGTTGAGTGAGGTTTAGAAGGCCTAAAGACCTTGGACAGTCTCTATGCTATGGATGTACTCAATGCTGAGCAGTAATCGGCACACAAAGTAACCTTGAAAAGGAGCATTCATTTCATTTCAGCACATTGCGAAGGACAGACTACTCAAACAACAAAGGCTGAACAGTCAAGGAGACCTTTCTGAGGAACCACAGAAAAATGTATTTCAATCCCTGTTTATATCTGAAGAGAGGTGTTTAGTCTCGGCAATAGCAACTACTTCTGGCTAGGATTATTTTTTGTTGTTTTGGATGTTTTCCTGGCATTTTCTGCATTATTCAACAAAATATCTCAGGGCTGTGGGGCACTACTTCATGCAGAGTGAATGTCATAAAAACAGTCATTATCAAATTTGTCTGAAGACACTGTGTATTGACAACAACATAATGAGGGTGCAGAATATGGCTATACTGGTCTGCTGCTTGTCATCTTCTTGCAATGTACTCAGCAGTTGCATATGAACAGCATAAAGCATGCAATTAATGTTTTGGAGCATTTTGGTGTCTCCTTTTTACTAATTTATGTTAAGATCCCGTGTTACATGGAGTTAAGCATCACGTCTTGGACAAATTGGAACAAGTAAATATTTTCAGATTCTCATAGACTGCACACACTGTTAGTGTATAAGAAGACTAACCTGAAAATTCAGATGGTAGGCGAATTCCTTTAAAAACAAAGTTATTTAATGGAATTGAGATCTATATGAATATCTGATTTTCTCTCCTCTGCTATAGCAAGCATTCTAAATTTGCCTTTACTTTCAGGACCTTTCAAGGCCTATTTGCTTCTGATCTTCCTACTCATTTGGCATCGAGACACCGCCTCCAGCTTCTGGCCAGCATGTGTTGCCATTATTTATAGTCCAATTTTAGTCCTTGTGAAAAACCACTTTCTTTCTCTTCCACTGATTGTAGCTCAGTCTCAGAAGTCAGTTTAATAAAATTTCCAGAAAGTAGTTTCTTATTCCCTCATCATTTTCTGACTTTTCTTTAAAAATCCAAACTTCAGTATTACCTACTTAAAAGAAAAAATAAATATAAAAAGGCTCACACTGTTTAAGATGATTCTGTGCTGAGACTGCTGCCTATCACTTTGTCTAGTATTGCCTCATTATTCCCTTTTATTTTCCTGTCTTTCCCTATCCGTCAGTTGTCTGTTGTTTTACACTCATTTGCTATCGTCTTTGTAAATGTAATGACCTTGTACTCTGTGTTATAATTATAGTATGCAGCAGAAGGGAGGATTAGTAAAAGCACTAAGCTTTTATTATATGCACTAATAGATAATTTTTAATAGAATCATTTCTCATTGAAAAAAAAAAAAAAAAAGACAAATATATTTTCAGAGCTGTGCAAATGATCTATCACAAAAAAATTCCCAAGAGAAAGAAAGGAATGGGAACCATTGTTCTGCTCCTGTCCTTTTGGAAATATGTCTCCAGTTTTTCTCATATGCAGTGAGTTGCAATAATAAAGTCTGATAATAAGAACAGAGTAATGAGAATATCTATTGCAGTTGTAATAAGTGTGCTTCAGCTTTTAAAGCTTATATACTAGCATCTTCCTTTCATACCCAAGGAAAACCACAAACTCCCTGTAGACTAGAAACAGATTTACATTCTTGGAACAAAGTTGATGAGTCCTTTCGAAA